GGATACTGGCCATTTCGTCACCACCATCTCTGTGGTTTGTGACTGTCAGCAAAGGAGGACTTCTTACAACTTGGGACAGCAGTCTGCATATTCGCAAAACTTTTGAGGTAAAGAGAATTGCATTTGCATTGGGGTTAATTCCATGGCAACACATATTTGGGAGAAATTCAGCATCACTCAATAAATTGCTGGTTCCAGAAGAGTTTAGGCTTCCAGCAGTGAAAATCCCAGGAGATCTTCTACAAGCTTTCCTCCAATGCCTGATGAAGGGTGTTTGTGCCCAAAAGCTTGCAATTAAAGGTTTTTGGGGTTTTTTTGCAAAAATCTTGTTGGTTTAATAAAAGGTATCATCTCACCTATGAGTCCTGATTGCCTTTTGGAGCTAATCAGGAATTTTTTCCACCGGAGAAATTCAGTTTTCTCTCAGTGCCATCAGCATGAGCATGCCCCAGACCTTCAGCTGTCTGTTCCAGAGCGGGCTTCTCTGATGAGCAACTTTCTGCCCATCAGGACATCTGAGCCCCCTGAATAATGCACACCTGACACCTTACGGTCCTGTGGAAATCGTTCTGCAAAATGCTGAGTGAAAGTTAAAAGTTCACAGCTCCTTGTTGAAGCGGGGGACATGGGAAGCGGGTTTGGCTGTTTCATGCAGAAGGTGGCACCAGTGCGTCTCTGATGACGAGAGATTCCTATTTTCTTTTTTAAGTTCTCATGAGCTGCTTTTTTTCCTTTTTCTTTTCTTTTTTTTTGGAACAGATTGCAACAGATTCCAGGGGCTTTCCAACAGATAAAAGAAGGTTTAAGTCCTTGGTGACAGATGCTGTATACATGGCTAATGTCCACAGAATCGCAGTCGCCACCACCAGCAGGGATATTCACTTTTTCGAGGCGTCCACAGCAAATCTGTTTGAGGACTTTCATTTATTTGGTAAGCGTTAGAGGCTTACTAATAGCAGGGCCTTAGTTAATGTTTCTCAACTTGAATTCTCAAGTTGGACCTAATTATGATTTGCAGCTTTGTGTTGCGGGGATAAAAGCAGAGGGTTATTTGAGGCTAGCACATAAGTGATCAGGTATTTTGGAAAGTGAAAACAAAGTACCCGGCTCATGCTCTTTTGCAGTCTCTGGGGCTCCCACTGGTCTTTGCTCTATCTGCTTCATGGAGTTATCCAAAATTGACAGGAGGCAAGCAGCAAAAGCACTGGGGAGCGGGGAAGGGCGCTGCAGAGCGGGGTCTGGGGGTGCAGCAGAGCCCACAGCCTACAAGTGGGAGGGCTGGATTCCTACAGGGCTAAACGAAGGGAATGGGACATCTTTCCCGCATGGAAACTGGATATTAAGGAAGTCAGATAGAACTTGAAATTGTGAATAGTCCTAACATATTGCATTGTTTTTGTGCCCTTCAGCTCTGAACAATATCCCAACTTGTCTGTACTACTGGTATAATGCCAAGGTATAGTGCTACTGCATTTTCTTTTCCAAGATGCATGCATCTGCGTAGCTTCATTGTTTGTACTCAACCCACAGGAGTGTTTTATGATCTTTGGGCCATGCTGTAACATCACAATACAGGATTGTCTTCTATTTCAGGATCAATACCCTGTTGGTAAGCCACAAGCTGGCATGGTTAGCAATCCATCTTTGTGATGCCTCCTTTCAGTGGCTAAGAATCCAGCCAAGATTCAGGGCAAAATGAGAAGTTAATTATTACATAAAGGAGCAACAAATATGCTCTCAGATTGGAAACCAGGATTTATTTAGGAAGATTTTTCTAGTTGTTATCTATTATCTACTTAGGGATAAAGCATTTTACTACAACAGATCAAAGCATTCGCCATCACGTTCAATATCCTGCTTGTAGTAGGGGTGGATACCTGATGTTTCAGGGGAAAGAGCAAACCCTGTCCCCTTCTCAGCAGAAACCCCCCCCCCGCATGACAATGCTGCATACAGGAAGTAGAGATCCCTACATTTTGCACCGTTGATTTGATTCATGAATGTCTGAGTGGGATGAAGCAAAGGTTGAGAAGGATGCACAGAGCCCCTTGGGCTGTGGATTGCTTCCTGGCTTTGGGACACCCCAGTGTTTTCAGCAGCATGTTAAAAGCTGTCATTAAATTCAATGCATGCAAAGATAGGACGGGGAGCCAATTTCAGCTTCGCCAGGTTTGCCACAACCCTCTCCTCTGCACATTGTTCCCCTCTCAGTCCCTAGGCAGTCGCTCCTTGCTGCTCTGGGGAGATGACCACGGTGGTGTGAACTTGCTCTGGCTGCTGCGTCCTCGTGCAGGCGTGTTTGAGAAGCCCTTCGGGGATGGGTCGGGAGCACAGCGAATCTTCATGCCGGTGAGGAAGGAAAAGGCCCCGTTGCTGAGATAAGCATCTGACTGGAAACTGCCCAAACTCTTCCCTTTGTCACTGAGATGCCCAGCTTTGCTCAGCACGCCACGCAAAACAGGACCTGGGGGGTCACCTCAGCTGGGAAAATCAGGTTTTGCTAGTGCTTATTAAGATGGTCCAGGGGCTAGCATGCTAGCCCAAGCTGTGGGTTCACTTCCTTGCCCCACCACATATTTTCTGTGTTCTCCCTAAGACTCGTGTTCAGGTCTGCAAACTGGGAATAATGTCACTTTTCTACCTCACAGGGGCATTACGGGAAAATGCATTAAAAGACTGAGAGGCTTTGGGCACTGCTGTTAGCAATATAAAATGACCAGGCCAGGAGGCTGCACTGGGTGGCAGAGATGAGAGCAGCATCTCCAGCTCTCTGCTAGCAAATACTACAGCACTGCAGTGCTAGAGGCCATGGCCACTCCCGAGTACATGAGCGTTTCTTACTCCTGTCCTCATTTATAAATAGAAATACTGTGACTTGTTATTTTTCTAGAGCTTGGTGAGTGGGTATGAAAGGAAATAGAGAAACCTGCCCAAACGAGTTGCTTTCAAGTTTCGGGCAAGCATCACAGGTTTGCACGTGATGGACAAGAAGGCCACGGTGTCGCTGTGCACCTGGAACTTGTCGCAGCCTTCTTCCCAAGCCTTGGGATTACATGGTTGGAGAGTGTGCATCTTGGGCTCAGCTTGAAACCCATCAGCAAGCCCTGGGGCTGTGCAGGGACAAAGCATTGCATTGAGTTGAGGGAGCAGCCTAGGCTTGCCCAACTTTGCTACTGCAACCCAATCCTCTTCAATAGCCTGCCCCCCACCTACACCTTTCCCCTCTCTGTGTGCATGCATCTCCCACTTGCGTTACAATGTGTGAGGCAGCTCTTGGCACACGAATCTGCCTCGTGACATTTATGTCCATTGTTTTCTACCAGGACATTAAAGAGCACCGTAAGCTCCTGCGTTATCATGCAATCCCAGATGTACACGAGGAAGCCATTTCCCAAATCCAGTACATGTCTGAGGGTGACCTCCTCATCACAGCTTCCGACAGTCCCAAGGCCTCTGTGGTGATCATGGATGTGCACAGAAAGAGAAAAGTTTATACTTGGAAAATCAAGAAGGTGCGGTATTTTGGGGGTGACTTCATTGCTTGCATGTGAACAATGTACATGGAGCGCCATAGCATGTCTGAGGGTACCACTCCTGGGCATGGCACATTTGCCATGTAGACATGGCTCTAGACCAGTGATTCTCAACCGTAGACTCATAGGAAATGAGGGTTGGAAGGGGCCTCAGGAGGTCACATCTAGTCCAACCCCCTGCTCCAAGCAGGACCAGACCCAACTCCATCATCCCAGCCAGGACTTTGTCTAGCTGGGATGCTGCAAGAGTCTTTTAAGGATGCCGCACAATATTGACACTGTTAGGCATGCAAACATCTAACTGTGATTCGTGAGAGAAACCCAGAGAGTTCAAGTGGGACTCTAGTGACCTACTGTTGTCTTTCTGCTTTCTTTGCAATGGAAAATTTCTCTATTATTTTCCCACGGTCAAAAACAAGTGAAAACCAAGAGCTGGCATTTTCTGAGGAAGGCCTTGAGTCTAAAAAAGTTAAGCAGCACTGCTCTAGACAGTTTTGAAAATTGCACTAGCTGCTACCTGTCTGTAACTTTAAATACATAAATACATCAACACCTCTGGCCTTAAATCCACAAAGCAGCTTGAGCCATCAAAAGAGATACATACTTTACTATAAAGGAAACCAGGTCTGGAAGCATTTATTAACTGTGCTTTACCATAAGGGCAGTGATGCCCAAAGTCGCCCCACAAGCTTGATTAATAGATTTTCAAACAAAACAAAGGGTTGGAAAGCAAATCATCCAATGCGTCTATACAATTTTCATTCTCTATGACAAAGGATAGCTATAATATTATTGTAAAGCAATTCAATCTGATTACGAGAAAAACACTATAGATAAAAAATTCACAAACTGTTGGGGGAAAAAAATCAGGAAAAATAGAATGTGCAAGCAGAACTTTGGAAGCATCCAGATAATCACCATTCATTGTGTCATGCTTTTGCAATTACAGTTAAACAAGATTTAGAATAACTAAAATTAAAACAAGCATTTTTCCCCCCACTGGTCCACAATCACAGAAAAAATGAGTCACAGAAAGAAAGAATCGTCCTTCATTTCTCCCAAGACAGAAATGCTAAGTGCAATGTGCAGAGGTTTCTTCTGCGCGTCTGGGTACATTGTGCAAGACTGGAAAAGATGTTCTTTTTTGTAACAGCCAGATTTAAGAGATCCTAAATTAAATTGCTTTCATGGCCCTTTCTTTATCAATCAGAGATGCCTGGATACTGATTTGCATACCTGAATCAAGCCTGAAATATGAAAAGCTATACAAATAATTATTTCTGGCTCTCTCTGAGTGAGACCTCTATGCCCTTACATAGCCTTATTCCACAGATGCTGTGTTGGCCATGCAAATATTTTTGTGAAATGTTTAGTTGCTTTTTCCAATTCTTTCTAGGGTGTGAAATGCTTTGACTACTGCAAATCCCTGAACCTGCTGGTTACCGGAGGGCTGGATCATGTTGTGCAGCTCTGGAACCAGTATGTCACAGACTGGCCGGTTGCTACTTTCCAGGGACATTCAACAACGGTTCTAAGCACCGTCATCCATGAGTCCCAGGGACATGTCTTCAGCTATTCCAAGGACTCGGTTTGTCACTTTTATGCTGGGTTTTGACCCGTGCATGCTTCCTTGATAGTAACATTTAACAACTGTTGAGTATTAGCAATGTAAGATGGATAATTTACCCTGCTGGGTGGGTGTGATGGCATGGTAGATATACTCCACGACGTATTACGCACATGCAGTGATTGCACCGATGTAACTGGTCTTTACAGCAGTGAGCTACATACACCACATGCAGCCTGGCACCTGGAGGATTATCTGGGGAATATTAGAAATAAAACTAAACCAGCATAAGTTAAAGTGGTTGTGAGTGTTGTGTGTTTGCAACTTATCTTGGAGTGGCTGTAATAGTCCCTGTTGCATGTAGCTTCCTACGGCGAGCTGCTTGTCTCTCCATTCTGGATCCTGGCCTGATTTAGATCAGTATAAATGTGCCTTGTGTCTACTTTTCAAACTAGGGATGTTGATCCTAGTGTGCTTGTCACATTTCAGCTGCTTCTGCCCCTCTGAATTCCTCCTGCCGGCTCAGCTGGATTGTAGAGTACAGCTCCAATATAAAAGGCTTTGTTTCTAGTGCTGCAAAGCTGCTATGCTTTATGCTATAGTCAGGTTAAGCACTTTTCTTATATTTTTTACACCACCCCCCCCCAAGTTCTGAAGCATCAAAACTAGCAGATCTTTGCAAAATGATTCGAGATCCTTGGCTAAACAACAATATATTATGTTCAAAGTATTATTCAACTGCCAAAGCGTATGGAAAAGCTGTGTGTTGCTAAGGACAAGGAATGAATATGGGGGGGCGCTTTCTGAGACAATAGGATCTTTTATCTCTCAGTCCCTTTGAAGTGACTACTCTTACTGCTCTTTGAAATGCTTTCATTTTTCAAGCAATTAAAAGGCAGAAGTGAATTGTCAGGAACAGTAGCTAATATGAATTCTAAGCCAAATATGTGTTTAAAAAGAATTCATGCACCTTCAGCTATACCGTAGGTTGGCAGTTTGACTAGATACACATGGATATACTTCTGTTTATCCCTTTCCCCAAGAACCAGTGCTAGCAAGAAAGACTTTTTAGTGGTGAGTGAATGTGAGTCTAAAACAGGAATTATAATGCCAGCCTGTCCTTCCAGAGGCGGTATGACTATAAACACATTAATTATTATGAAGCACCTAGCAAAGTTCAAATGAAAGTCACTCTGTGAGCACAATCTACTTTTATGGCTCTCACTTCAGTACTACCCATTACTTTGCTGGAAGATGGGGTATGAAAAGAAGTAAATAAGTGAAGATCCATAACAGCACCAAGCACAAGCTTATGCAGCCCCTTGGGACTTGGTAAAAATCCCCACAATGTTCAAGTCTGAACTCGCCCAAGACTTTGGAGGGATCCAGACTTGCTCCTAGCAAACAGCAGCCTTAGCACATATGTAAAACCCAGCTTCTCTCTCTCTGTTTTCAGGTCCTGAAAGTCTGGGATATTTTCTCCCAGACTTGCCTGCAGACATTGGTGCTGAAGTTCCCGTGCATGCAGCCAGGACGAACGCTAGAGCAGGGGGATTCTCCCTTGTTGCTTATGCAGGACCCTCCCCATCTCCTTTTAGTGTCCTGCGCAGATTACATTGGCATGTTAAAGCCCACACACGGCGGTGCTGAGGAGGAAGAGCTGGCGACCCACCGTGCACCATTACGCAGCGCTCTCTACAGTGCCTACTCCCACCAGGTCAGCCTCTCTTCCTGATTTTGATCCACATTTTCTGCTCAGTTGGGTCTGAACCATAGAATACAAAGGCAGAATTGGCACCCTTTAAGGGTGTGCATATGAAGTATTGGTTTGTCCCATTGAAGTTATTGGGGTATTTTTACTTCATCTAATTGCAAAACCCAAGACAGGCATTTGTCACCGTGCTTTCTGGTGTCATTTAAGCCAAATCCTTGACATCAATCAGTATCTGCAATAAGACAAAGCAGTCTTCCTCACCAGGCACTCTGGTTACAGTGACATTAGTCACTCTTGCTTTGACTTCAACCCAAGCCAAGTAGGACAACACAGCAAAGGGTTTGTGTCCTGATCCTTCCATTGCCAAATCTCCATTGGGACCCACAGGAAGAGTTCCTTCATTTTGAGGATGCTTTTTTTTCCCCTGCAGTCAACAGCGCAAAGGAGGATAAAAATCCTGCCATGAGCCAAACAAGGAAACAAATCCAGGAGCCTTTTCTATCCTCCTTCTTTGCAGGACCTTGCATTCATGCAGTGACTGGGCTTGTGTTGTGCTCTGAAGGGCCCAACAATTGTGGTTCCCTGCCGTCTTTTGGGATTGGGATGCACTACAAGGAGGGCAATTGCCCATAAGTGCTGGGAAGGGATGGAAGACCAGTACCTTAAAATTGCATTAGCTAAGAAAGGTCACAAGCTGAGTGTGATGGCACTTAAAGATTGCAGCACAGCACCTTTGACATCAGCATCTGTCTTCTCCAGGAGTCCAGGAGGTCCTTGCTCCCATTTTACATTGTGTGCCCCACAGTTTACTCTTCTGGGCCCAGGTGTTTTGTCTGTGTGTTCCCACCATTACTCATCCTCTCTCACAGTCTGTTGCAAAAACACTTTGTTTTGCCATCAGCCCTTCTTACTTCATTCAAATTTCTCATCCAGCAATATGCCACTCCTTTGCTCTGCCATTTTCGGTCTTCAGTTTTCAAGTTTCACACCCCTTTCAAAACCATGAAATGAAAGCTCATTGCCAGCTTGACATCTGCCTGTCCTTAAAATGTTCCTCAATCACATGAGTAATGAGGAGGCCAACGTCTGTCTTTTTATATGCGTTTTTGAAGTGCTCCCCAGTTTCACACACCATAAACTCTCACATATCCCATGCTTGACTTCTTCACACCAATAATTTTTATTCAGTATATAGCATAATAAGTACAGTATGTTCTATGCAACCCATAGGACATAAGAATTGATTTGATTGGTCAAAGCAAGAAATGTAATGGACATGAACAGGGAAAAATTGACTTTGTTTCAGTTTTATAAACTTCAATCTTCCATGAGATAAAACTCTTGGTGATTGGGAGAGGTTCCAGATGTTTGGAAAAGGGCAAATATAGTGCCCATCTTTAAGAAAGGGAAGCAGGAGGATCCAGGGAACTATAGACTGATCAGTCTCACCTTGGTCCCTGGAAAAATCATGGAGCAGATCCTCAAGAAATCCATTTCTAAGCACCTGGAGGAGAAGATGGTGATTAGGAAGTGTCAGCATGGATGTACTAAGGTCAAGTCATGCCTGACCAACCTGATTGCCTTCTACGATGAGATGACAGGCTCTGTGGATGCAGGGAGAAGAATGAACTTGATATATCTTGATTTTAGCAAGGTTTTTGATATGGTCTCCCACAACATTCTTGCAAGCAAGCTAAGGATGAATGGATTTGTAAAGTGGACAGAAAACTGCCTGGATTATCAGGCTCAAAGGGTAGTAATCGATGGATCAATGTCTAGTTGACAGCAGGTACCAAGTGAAGGGCCCCAAGGTTGGTCCTGGGGTTGGTTTTGTTCAGTATCTTTATCAGCAACCTAGAAGATGGGATGGGGTGCACCCTCAACAAGTGTGCAGATGACACCAAGCTGGGAGGAGTAGTAGATATACTGGATAGTAGAGTTAGGATTTAGTCTGACCTAAACAAATTGGAGGATTGGACCAAAAGAAATCTCATGAGATTCAATAAGGACAATTGCAAAGTCTTGCACTGAGGAGGGAACAACCCCATGCACCGGTGCAGGCTGGGGCTGATAGGCTGGGCAGCAGCTCTGCAGAAAAGGACCTGGGGGTGACAGTGGACAATAAGCTGAATATAAGCCAGCAGTGTGCCCCTGTTGCCAAGAAGACTAATGGCTTACTGGGCTGCACTGGTAGAATTATTGCCAGTAAATCAAGGGCAGTGATTCTTCCCTTCTGTTTGGCACTGGTAGTAGAGTTAGGATTTAGTCTGACCTAAACAAATTGGAGGATTGGACCAAAAGAAATCTCATGAGATTCAATAAGGACAATTGCAAAGTCTTGCACTGAGGAGGGAACAACCCCATGCACCGGTGCAGGCTGGGGCTGATAGGCTGGGCAGCAGCTCTGCAGAAAAGGACCTGGGGGTGACAGTGGACAATAAGCTGAATATGAGCCAGCAGTGTGCCCCTGTTGCCAAGAAGGTTAATGGCTTACTGGGCTGCACTGGTAGAATTATTGCCAGTAAATCAAGGGCAGTGATTCTTCCCTTCTGTTTGGCACTGGTGAGGGCACATCTGGAGTCCAGTGTCCAGTTTGGGGCCCCCCACTACAGAAAGGATAGGGACAAATTGTAAAGAATTCAGTAAAGGGTAATGAAAATGGTTCAGGGGTTGAGGTATGTGACTTCTGAGGAGAAGCTGAAGGAATTGGGCTTATGTAGTCTGGAGAAGAGAAGACTGAGAGGGGATTTAATAGCAGCCTTCAACTACCTGAAGGATGGTTACAAAGAAGGAGCTGGATGGTTCTCGGTGGTGGCAGGTGACAGAACAAGGAGCGATGGGCTCAGGTTGCAGCAAGGGAAGTTTAGGTTAGATATTAAGACAATCTTTTTCCATAGGAGGGTGGAAGCACTGGAACAGGTTACCCGGCGAGGTTGCAGAATCTCCATCCTTGGAGGTTTCAAAGACCTAGCTAGACAAAGCCTTGGCTGGGATGATGTAGTTGGGGCTAGTCCTGCTTTGAGCAGGGGATAGGACTAAATGTGAGCTCCCGAGGTCCTTCCAACCCTTGTTTTCTGTGACTCTATGAACATAAAACTTCGTGATATGAGCAGTTTCCATCTGGATGAGAAAAAACACAATGGATGGATGGCCAAGAACATCTTGCACTGACCCGTCATGAGGCAGGACCTCACACTGTGATTTCCATGATATCCTTCTATCATTTCAGGGCAAGTTGCAGACCTCCCTTAAACCAGGTATCACCTCCATCAAGGAGGAGTTAAAGTGGGGATATCAGCTCTCTTGAGTAACCCTTTGTAAGCGGGCGAGCTGATCTGCCAGCCGAGGAAGGTGAAATCCTGTTCCAGACAGTGGCACAGCTCTAGTTCTCTTCTCAGGGATACCTTTGTTAACAAAATGCAAAGTGATGCCGGAGCAGATGATTTCAAACCAGACTCTCTCCCCTGGCAGGTGGTGACAGGCTGTGATGACTCTTCTGTTGCTGTGTGGGATGTGGAGACAGGTACCAAACACCTCGTCATAAGCAATGCCCATGGGAATGAAGAGATAACGTGCATGGCCCTCGACAGCTCCCAGAACAGGCTGATTACTGCGGCAAGGAATGGGACCATAAAGGTTTGTTCTTGGAAGAGGAAAATATCGATCGTGTAGCAGCAGGCTTTCACCTGTGCTCTCATTTCCAGGAAACAGGGCTGAGAGCAGGCAATTTCCCCACCCTGCTCAAAGCATAGCACAGACAAGCTCTAGCAGGTCAAAGCTACAATGCCTGACTGCACTCGCCTAAGGAGCTCAGCCCAAAGTTTCATGTGTGGCTGCTTTCAAAGTTTCTTCCCTCCCAGGATGGTTCAGCCTTCAACAGAGGTCCTGTCCAGAGTGACTCTCCCCCTCCCCTTATCTTAGAGGGGTTAATAAGCCACCTGCCTGGGTCATGCTTTCTACCAAGCTTGCAACTTGCTAACAGCATCTGGTTGGGGGGCAACCCCTGTCAGATCACCCCAATGGTTTTGCATGTGCAAACACTGAAGTCAAAGGACACATCTACACTGCAGTTCACCTGGATACACCTGACCTAGCTTGACACTAGCGGGCTCGGGGCTAATAGCAGTGCAGCCACGCTAGCACGGACATCTGTAGAAACTAACCCCAAGGACTTACCAAGCTTCTTATGGGAGCAGCATGTTGCAGTCAACAGCAGATGCCGTGCAGCTGTCACTTCACAGAGTCGAAGCTAGGTCAGGGAGGGTCCATCATTAGCCTGTTGATGGTTTGGGGCAGAAACTGCGTGTCATTTTTGTGCCTTTCCTTCACTGGCTAACGTGAATGCCTGGATGTGATCGTGCTAATATTTGGATGCATTCTCCTTTTTTTCCCCCCAAAGGTCTGGAATATTCAGAACGGCCACAACGTGCACCAGCTGGAGGTGGTGGATGAGGCAGAAGTCACAGGACTTGTGGTTTTGCGGAGTCGGACCCTCTTGGCAGTGGGATGGAATCGCAAGCTTGTTCTGTATCATTTCTGGGAGCCTGGGGTGAGTGCGCACAGGGCCAGGGTGTTAGCAAGAGGAGGTATTAAGGAAGTGGCTTCAGATAGTTCATAACACTGAATGCTGGCCTGCTACATCCATGGAAGTGACCTTGGACTAACACCATCAAAGTCACTGGGATCCTTGCTTGGAAGGGGGAACAGGGCCTAAAACGGGGTGACTGGTAAAAAAAAAACAAACAAACCCCATGAAACTATTGAAGGAGGCTGCAAAGACCCATCCTCTGTGGGTGGGTAGTGAGGGGACTTGTAACACCCATTCACGGGCAAGTTACACTTGCAGCTGTGCTCCGTTTGCTCCGATCTACCGGCTCAACCGCATCAGCAGATCCTGAGCCGTGATCCACTCTTTGCCTCCTTATAGGCCCTGTATGTCACTGCAACTTGTTCCTGGAAGGGTGGCCAACTACATAAAGAGGACATCTTGGCTGTGGACTATTGTCCTGCCCTTGGTCTCCTTGCTACAGCCAGCTTTGATGGAGAAATTATAGTGTGGAACACCGAATCTCAGAGAGTATTTCTCTACCTCAGGGAGATGCCGCGCAAAAGGTATAATTTGCTTTAAAATATCTTATGGTGCGTTATTTATGAAACTGTAGGCCTTGAGAGTTAATGTGCGTGGCTGGATGTTACAGAGTTGTCATGGTTCCAAGTTACACATTTTTCTTCTAATGAAAAGAGTTCATTTTTATTACAGTCTCAGCGCTAAAACTGCTGGCATCTCCTCTACTTCCCAGCATTTTTCTTGTTTATCTCCCTGATCATGATTAACCTGCTTGTCTTGGTGTTTTATTTCTTTTAATAACACATTTGAAAACCAGGTGCTTCAACCTCAGGAATCTTCATTGTTTCCTCCATCTGAGATCATCAGCATGCCAGGCAACCTGTGAAGGTTTCTTTCCCAGCTTAAACACCGTCTGAAGCATAATTAATGCTTGCAAGGTGCTTTGAAGATGAAAAGCAGCTGTACCAGTGATGGGTGTTATTGCTGCATGGAGGGGGGAGGTGGGCATGCAGGTTTGAATTGTGATCTGGCAAAAGATAATCCTCAGACCTAAATAATCCTACATCTGCACACTTCCCCAGCTGGGGATCCATAGCTCTGTGGGCTAATCTGACAAGCCACTGATGTCAGTGGGAGCTTTGAGAGGAGATGCCTTGCACAGGGTGTGTGGATTAATTCAAGGCCAGCCATCGTGGGCTTGGTCCGTGCTGTGATGACTTTGTTCTGATGGATAGCGTGCAGTATGAACCACACAAGAGAGTAAGATGGAGTGGGGATGTCCATCCACACTTCCACGGGCTACCCAGGGCTTGGGCACCCACTTTGCTGCCACCAGCACATGTGATTGGGATGGGATCTAGACTAGCTGGAGCCGTGGCACCTTCCGTAATACGTAGTTGGCAAAGCTGAGCCCAAGCAGCATCGTGCTGCTGTTTGCTAGCGCAGTGCTATTGCACGGGGCCTGTTCAAGGACTGAGCTTTGCAAGAGGCAGGAGAATCTGTCTCGTATTAAACACATTGGGTCTGGTTCTCTGGTGCAGCTCCCTTTTGCTCTTCCTTCCCTGTCTCTCACCCAAGCCAGTGCCAAAATCTGCTTTGAGCTCCACAGGGGTAGTTTGCTACTTACTGTACAGCAACCCATTGACACCAGTCGGGCTGTTTCGAAGCACAGCGATCCACCCCCCTGCCACCAGTTTAGTCCCAGAGTCTTAGCTGAGGTTTGCTTTGGACTGGGCTTCTAGCTGCCATCGCTTTGATGCCCGCAGTACAAACCTGGAAGACAGGGCAGAGTTTTGCTCACATGCTTATAGCCGAACCAGAGAGCCGGATGTCTATTTTGGGGTTTGTCATATGGAAATCAGCCTGAAGAACTTAATTAAAAATGTGTTTTTGCTTGGTTTTTAATTTTAGGTCTGTTTGAAGTAGGGAACCACAGGAAAAGCTTGGTACTCCAAAAATACCAATGTATTTATGGTTCAGGGCCAGTGGTAGGTGACTCGGGTGGGGGGGGGGGGGGGAAACCAATCCTTTAAAAAAAAAAAAGGGGGATATTTTTAGGCCTGCCGAGTAGATTTTAGAGAAAACAAATAGTTAAGGGTGGTCTGAATGTCATCTTCACTGTGTTTTAGGTCACATCCTCCAGTGGATAAACTCTTCTTTCTTCAGCATCGATGCACAGATGGTATTTTAAAAGACAACGCAGTCCTCATCAGCTCTGAGGCAGGGGCTCTTCACTGGTGGAGTGTCTTTGGAGAAAGACAAGACTTTGGTAAGACTGACCTCTGAAAATCAGCATCTCCGGCTGGTTGTGGGTATCACCACATCCCACCCTGGCAGCCTGCTGAGAAATCCTGGCTCTGCTGAAGTCGGTGGGAAATGATGCCATTGGCCTTCGTTGTAAATTCATTGCCTTAGCTGGGAGCTCAAGGTCTGCCATGGTTTACCTGCAGGTCTGGAGATATGTCTCCTCCAGATCTCTTAGTTCATGGGCCAAGAGGCTGGAGAGGCAGCTTTCTTTGCTGCTGGAGAAAGGAGAGAGACTATCATCTTTGCAGTTGAGGGCTATCACCAACTGTAAATGTTTCCAGATCATTAATTAGGCAACAGGGTACAGCAGAGAGATGCTCTTGGTCTAGTACCTCTCTGCTTCTTCTATCCCAGCACATGCTTCAATAAAACCTATCCCTTTCTTTTCTTTATTCCCAAGGGTCTTAAGGGGTTTCTCTTCCTCTCTGCTTTTGCCATCCTGAATTGTACACCACCCAAACCCACCTATTTAGCAGGAAGGGACTTGTGGTCAGAATGGTTTCTGGCTGGAGAACATATTTTTCCCTATAAACGACTGTTTCCTGGAGTAGCCATCACCTCTCCTGCCTGTGCCTAAAGCCGATGCTATCTCGGTGGAACAAGATACCCAAGAGCTTGCAACCGATACCTGACTATTAAAAATGGATAGTAATTAATGTGATCACCGATTAAATAATTTAGCCAACCCAGATTTCTCTTTTGAAATAAAGCTGGCAATATGTTTTAACCATACTCCTACTAAGAATCATTTAGCCAAGTCATGACCCCGTTGAAGTCAAAGGAAAACCATCGCCAGCTTCACCAGAAGGATTAGCTCTTCCTGGGTGTAAACACAGATATGCATTTCAGCCCATTCTGTTTTATTCAGTATGCTTATTTATTTTCTCTCCATTGTATAGTGCAGCATCACAGTTACTGGGACTGTAGATAATGTCACTGAGAAAAAATGGAAAATGTTTAAGTTATTAACAAAAACTGAAATGCTAGCTGGATATAAAAGCTTCCAAACATTATATATGACTCCCTTTAAAAACAGGACATGCTAATCCTTTATCTAGGAAAGTGTTTATTCCAATGTTTAGCTATGGAGTTTGTTTGTTTTTCCAACTCTCTATTTTAGTATCCAAATTGGGAGAGAAAATCTACAGAAGTCAGAAGCAAAAAGCAAGCACTGAGCTACACCCAGGAAAAATAAAAGCAATTACCATGCAAAAAAGGAAATGAAAAGTGCTATTGAGTGTACTGCCACGCTCACTAGAAGGGGATAATTTTAGCTTAGCATAAAAGAGAGCACAGAGTTCATGGGTGGAAAATAGTAATCCAGGGGACAGTAATTGCACATGGTGAGCGATTATGAAACCCGTGGCAAACTGATTAACTGCTCTCGTTGCTGACTACCGGTAAAATGAGTCAAGCCTACACACCGCGGGTGAAACCCTGGGTACACTGAAGTCAGTAGCAATATTTCTATTGATTTCCATGACATTAGATTTCTCCTAAAGCCATTTAGGCCAATGTTGTCTTTGAAGAGCCATGGGATTTTTGGATCTTTGCATGAAACACGTCAGGAGATTCATAACTTTCCCAGCTGGTTGACGACAGTGAGGGATTCGGTGCTACTTCTCAGTGCCCCGGCGGTCATGGTCTCAAGTTGGACACCCAAAATCAATGGCAATGGGTGGATGGCACATAAATTCAGGACACATCCAGCAATCAGATATCCTCTGTCCTGGGAACTAAGAATCAAGACATTGCTTAGAGCATGAGCAGATTCAAGCATGAATTGCCCAAACCCCCATCATTTCAGTGGAAGCAAGCATCCCATTCTTAGAGGAAAGAGAAAAAAATAACTACTTCCAAGTGCTATCGCCATAGAATAGCTGCTCTATTTCAATTCAAGTCAAACTGGTATCCTTCTAACAGGTGTTACCTAGATACATGCCCAACTTAATAACTTCTTATTGCTATAACAGGTGTGATAGGGTGAGAGGAGGTCTGTGCTTGCCAGTGTTAGTTTTGTGGTACAGAAAAGATGTTTCTGTTATTCAACATTATCTGCAGTGTGACAGGCTGAGGTGGGAGGCAAAGAGTACACGCAGGCTCTTTAGCAAATAGTCACCGGGGAACTGTTTAATGAAGCAAACTTGCACAGTGCAAAGAGGACTGGACCACGTTACTTCTCCTTTGTTTAAATGAAGAGATGATGTCGGGTCCATTTTGGTCCAGTATTTAGGGTTTGGGGCGCGGGGGGTCATTTTGGTGGGTAAATTCCGGTTGAAATGAAGATCAATAGAAAAAAGGCACCGGCATTTTGAATTCACTCCAATAAAATCAAGGGCAGAGCAACTATTTGCCTTCTGCAGTCCTCGCAATCTAAATATTGTGTAAGAAGAGAAGAGCCGAGAAGTGAAGTTTAACAAAAGTAGCCAGATGGTGAAACCAAATTGTCTGTTTCATTATTCAAGTAAACGGAGTTCAAGCAGTAAATCAACAGCGTTACTGCTGACAACAGAATTAGATTTTAATAACTTGCACCGTTTGAATAATTTAGTATGATATTAATAACATAAAAGGATTTTTTTTCCTTTAAAAAATATGTGACTGTCAAAATTGACATTCATTTTTAAGAGTGATTTAGACACTTGGGAGCTAAACCTCATTGGCAGCCACTGAATTTAGGCACCCAAGTAATTTAAAAATCTGGCTCTACATCCCCTTTTTAAAGGTTTTTATATACCTTCCTCCTAAGCATTTCAGTGGGAGAGAGGCCATTAACAACCTAAACCTTTGGACCCTAAATCACTTAAGCACTTCTGAAGATGCTCTTCTTCTTCTTCTTTCAGGTTTTTATTATGCCCCCACAAAAGTGGATGCTTCTGTTCTTGGATTGGCAGCCAATTTAATAAACACTGTTCTTGTGTCTGGAGACACAGAAGGATTCATCCAAGTTTGGGACATTTCGGGTTATGGGCTGTCTCCTAGCACTCAGGTAAGTCACTTCATAAAATTTCCCAGTCTTTTGGGCACCAGAGAACAAAGCGGTCCCCCGCCCCATCCACGTACAGTTGTTTATCTTCCTAACTCTACCCGGCGAATTGTCTTTTCAAGGCACTTTGCTTGCCAAGGACGTAGTTTATTTCTGGGCACAAAGAGTCCATGCAACTTTTTAATAGCAGGTGGGAAGTAAATTTGAATGTATAGTCCTAAAAAACTCCTCCATGCTGCGCTTTATTCCTAAAACATTGATCTTCCCTTCTGAATAGTCCCCACGTGCAGAAGAATGACAACTAGTTTCAGTGGTTGTAACATACTGTAAAAAATAGACTGGTACAAACTACAATTTTAGCTGTGCAGCATGCGTGGGTATGCCCTCGCCCATGCACATGTGTGTGTGTGTTATCCTGTCCAGGTCGGATTGACACCATCATTTCCTTACAACACTTCTTTGGTATGTATCCTCCTACCTACCTAACAGCCTATTGCAAATGCATAATGAAAAATGATAAAGAAATAATAAAATCACCCCTATTACTGAGTGCAATGCACTGAGGTATGAGTACCTCCCTGGGCATTTAAAATGCTTTGCATTGCACATGCCCACACACATGTGCAGGATACTATGACCACTTCCTGTGGCTACACTCTCACTGCAGCTCAGAGGAACGATTTGTGCCACGTCGTGGGTGTAAAAGCAGCCTGGCGGAAGGGATCGACCTCACAAAGTCTGGCAGAAATGTTCCGGAAGGTTCAAAGCCAACGGTTGGAGCGGCAGTAAGTTCGGAGACGCCAAACCGAGCTGTTGGCAGAAGCTTCCTGGAAAGTTCATAATTAGCATCTTGCCATTTACCCAAGGAGGGCCCGCCAGCCCCCCAGCACCTGGTAAGAGTGATGGCCACAGCCCAGCGGTCAAACCACCAAATTTCGTTAGCGGCACAGCAGCGAGGGAGGCTTCGTTGGGCAGCCGGAGAGTTTGTTGGGCCGAGGAAAGCAGATGATTTGCCCCCTTTTGTGCGAGACCAACCGGAGCTACAACAGCCACGCGCCGATGCACTAATTCACATGTGTCGGAGCAGACTTGATTCATTGAGTCTGCTGGAGAGTGCTAATGCGCGCCTCCGCGTTGTGTATTCAGCGTCCCCGCGTTTCAAAATGGCGGCAGGGGCGCTTTAACTAAAACTCATCGAATGAGCTTTAGTTAAAGCACCCCCCACCGCCATTTTGAAGTGAACACACATGACGCTGTGAATGCTTTAATTAGAGCGGCTCTAATTAAAGCGCTCCCCCTCCACCTTGGAGCATGTGTATAGGTGCCCTAGTTCCTAAGGGCAAGGCGACATTCATGTGACGGATATAATATCATGGTCACAAGGAGATCAGTCACACCACTAAGGCAATAAGCCTAGGGTGGCCATCATAGAAGACGGTCCGGTTTTCTGCTACTCTGTCCTCTATTGATACGAAACCCAGTGTCTTTATGTCCTCTATTTTTCTCTTCAAGAGACCACACATACCTGTGCATGGGCGAGGGCATGCCCACGCATGCTGCGCAGCTAAAACTGCAGCTGCACCGGTCTATTTTTAAAAGTATATTGTAACCACTCCACAACCACCAAAATTAGTTGATATTCTTTTGCACATGGGGACTCTTCAGAAGGGAAGATAAAAGTTCTGGGTATAAGGCGCGTGGATGAAAGTCTCCATTTGTCGGTAGCTGGCGAGCCCATGTTATTCAAGAGAAACATAGGGAACGTAAAGGCGTTGGGTTTGGTATCAATAGAGGACAGAGGACAACCGGACTTTCCTCTATGATGGCCACCCTAAATAAGCCCTACATGCCATCCCGGGACATGAAGCCGTGACAACACCCCTAGCACTGTACTCAAGGCCTGTATTTTTGGCATGCTCAAGAACAGAGGCCTAGGACAACCCCAGAGCATCCCGACTGCCTCCTTTGCAGGGCTGGTGCATGGAGCAGAAATGACTGGACAAGGCTTATTGCCTCCCTGCAGAGACTGAGCTCACCATTGTGCGGTGTAGATGCACCCAGCGTGGCTTCCCCCAGGTCCTTCCCAAAGCAAAGAATTGTACCCACATGTCCAAACTCCTTCCAGGCGCTCACGTCCCCATCTTCCTCCTTACGTGATCTCCTCTCATTTTGTGCCAGCGAATTGTGGCCCGGGACAGTTCATAGCAACATCTCCGTCAATGTGGTGGTACAGTTGCTCACCCACCCGAGCAGGACTGCAAGACTGCTTCATGCTTTGAAAGTGCTATATGATTAAAACACCCTTGATGGAGAAAAAAAGAGAGATAAAAGCCCATCTCGCCTGCAGAAACAAACCAAATTAGTTCAGCTCAGCCTCTGCTGTGTTCCTTTATTGCTGACTCAGCTGATAAAATGAGCTGAGCACCAGGATTGCTTGAAATACAAATATCCAGTGCTGAGTTTATAGATACAGCCCGTGAGGAAAGCAAGTAATGCAGTTATTAAGCCTCCTGAATAAACAAGTTACTCCGAGCAGTACGAGGATCTTGAGCACCACAGCCAGTGGATTTCATGGTACAGGTCATAAAGTGCTATTCACTATGATTTATGCAGCGTAGCATTTGAGGCATTTTCTGGAGCAAACGAAGCTGCAGCCTTCCCCTAAGGGGTATGCTATAATGAGAGAAAGCACAGGAGTAAAACCAATATTGGAGGGGAAAAACATGGCCAGGGAAATGGAGGTTTCCACGTGAGATTGCATATTTAATGCCCTTTGTGCGTGGCTCAGGGCTGCTGTTCTCCATGCGTGTCTTCAACTCCAGCCCTCCCTTGCTCACGTGCCCAAGTGAAGCCAGCTTCCCCCTGCCCTTCTACCATTACGCCATGAGATTGTGTATAAAATATTCTGTTAATCTATGCTGAGCATATTGGGCACCAGGTCAAAGGCTGCACTTCTTCAGCAAAAAGAGGCATGAATCAATATAAGGTGAGTTTTGCGCATTTTGGGGTTTTCTCATGATTATAATGCATGGACAATTCTCTTGTGCATCTCCCCAACCACTTTTTTTTTTCAAGTTTAGTGCAACAAAACAGATCATTCCCATGAAAAAAACTTAGCTGAAGTTGGATCCCTCCAGGTCATCCCTACATCCTCTATCCCATTTTAATGAAGTGGATACTGCTTTATTTTGTGTGGCAGCTTAACTGTTGTGCGTAGTGTTGCGTGCAGCTCCCTGAATCTCTCCTTCTCCCGTGTTCAGGGGTCCCTGAAGAAGCCTCCGTTGCTCGGTAGCTGGCAAGCCCATAGCAGCTGCGTGGTGAGCATTGAGCACCTCATGTTCGATTCGGACGCCTTCATCCTCAGCGGCTCCGCTGACAGAAGCGCCAGGCTGTGGACCTCCGAGGGGAAATTTGTAGGAACCTTTGGGCAGGAAAAGAGATGGGACTTAAAAAATCCATCGACATTCGTCCATCCCAAGTAAGTTTTCAGTCCAAGATGCAGCCCATAAGGCTACCAGGGAGATAAATGTCTCAGCAAGTTACTTCCACGTCTTTTCTTTTTCTGCCACTGCCCCTAAAGCTTCATGGCCTGCAGCAAGGCTGTACGTTGCCCAGCCCTGTTCTCAGAGCAGGGAGTCACGAGGGTCTATTAATAGGCATGTGGCCATGCAATCCCCTGTTCAGTGGGTCTTCTCTGAGAGTCGAGTTGCACCCAAGGGAAATGCTTCCCGCAATGCAGGGAGAGTATTGGGGAGGGCTGAGCTGGGCCGGCTGCCTTGTTGGTCCTTGGAGGCCTGGAAGAGAGTTCGAGGAACTGGTACTGGTCACTAGTCATATGAGCAAGCCAAGAAATATTTCTGTTCATCTCCTGTAGCAATGCATGTTCGAACCTATGTGATCCCTTCCATATCTTGGGGTTGCCTCGTCCAGTACCCCAGCATCATTTTAATCTAGGTTTACGCTGCAGTGACTGCACTGTAGCGGAGCCAGACCTGCGTTAGCTAGACACATGCAGCTTGGGGACTACCTATGGCAGTACGGAGCCCAGCACCGGCTCCCTGCCCACATGTTACCCAGGTCTTTGGGTAGGGAGCGCAATGCGACCAACACGAGGCTGCAAGCCACCTACGTTACCGCGGCATAAGTACGTCTACACCACGGTCCCTGCTGCAGACATACCCATAGGTGAGCAACAATAAAGCTCCCTCCTGTCTCACCCTTGCCCTACCCTTATGGGAGGAGCATGACACTAGGACAGGGTTAACGCACAAGATCTCCTTGTGCTGAATAAGTGTCCTTCCCTCGGGTAATGACCAGTAACACTCGTAATGTGCTAGTTTACCCAGGAGAGAGTTGGTGGGCGAAGTGAGAAAATCCTCCCTCCTCAGCAAGATTGTAATTTAAGTTTAACGCAGCTGCATTAATCTTACTCTCATTAAAATCAGATGATGTGTTTCTAGGTCACCCGGTACTGCCAGGAGTTCAAAAATCATGAGTCAGGCCCACCTAAAAAAAATCAAACTCTGAGCTCGTCTTTAACGCTGCAATATTTATAAATAATAGATCTGGGATTCTTTCTACTTACCGTACTGAGATCCTGAGATTTCACATTTTCAAACTTTTTCTGGGAGCCGTGAAAGGGTAGAAATTTAATTCCCCTCCTCCACCCCCCCAATACCAGCTGAGAGTCGTCCACAATCAGATGACTCCAGGAGCTGGTGCTTTAAAGAGCTTGTGGGACTCAGGCGTGAGGATTCAGCAGTATTAGTTTGCTTGAGGGCAGTCTCATGTAATAGCCTCTACCCATCCTCCTGATCCTCAAAAGTAGTATCAAAACACAATTTTTTGGTTAAAAAAAACAAAACAATGGGAATAGTCACGAAATCTCTTGCATGGAAGCAAAGGGCTGTGGTGTTTTTAATGTTCTCAGAGCAGCAGTAAAGTAATGACGCTGCATTAATAGACTTGTGGCTGTGGAGCCACCCAGACAGCAGATTTGCTCCTTTTGCTGTGAGTGTTGAGTTGCATCCAAAGGAAACGTGTGCCAGTGTAGATCCAGCCAAGAGTTGAAGTGTGAGCCCTGGGTTGCATCTGAAAAGCACTCAATGGGGGAAACTGGCACTGTAAGCTTTGCTGCATTGACTTTGTGATTTATAATTCTCGCTGGTATTTCCATTCTTCCATACACGGGTTCCTTGGGAAATCTTGTTTCACATTTATATAACCTCCTGCCCTAAATCCTGTGGCCTGCACATAATTTTGACTGCTGATTCCAGTGTTGAGATGCTTCTCCAAAGATGCTCTAGGCAAGAAGCCTGGTATTGCATGCTTAAGAAACTGGGAGGAACATGCAAAAGAGTAGTAAAAGCCAATATCATTTTTAAAATATGGTGTGCATGGGAACAACAAACCAAACATGCCCTTCGAATGTGCTCCTCATTAAACTCACAAGACGTTTTTTTTAAACTGATTAAACTGAGCTGGAGGACTAGAAACAAAGACAATAAACACCATTAATTTGAAGCAGATGGGCACTCAGGGCTATCAAATGCTTTGCAAATGACTTGATGGGGACTTTGCTTTAATAGACAAAATTATAAGCAGTGTTTACTAAAGTGCCAGATTCCTTCTTTGCTTCTCCGTCCCCAAATCAGCCCAGGACCCAGCTCAACAGAGTTCATTGGACTCACGGCTAGTATGCTGAACTCTTTAGGTTTCTTCCTTCAAAATTTGTTGTTTCGTCCAGAAAAAAGGCATGATGTTCACAAAATGAATGTCAACTAGAAAAAATGAAGCCAAAGAACCACCCCTGCGAAGAGGTTAGGATTAACTCTTTCAAAGCCAAACAAAATGACCTTATTCATAGCATATCACAGCATAACTATTCCAATCCCATTATCGTTTTTGGAAGGTAATCCTCTCACTTGTCAATTGATATAATCTATTGTCTTTCCAGGGGCTGAATCAAATATTAATTATTTGATTAATAAAAGGAAACCTGCTGGTATTCATCTTTTAAAAGGAAGCTTTAGCAAAGACAGGGAACTGGAAAATTTTCAAGGAGTGCTTTTTCATTCCATTTGAAAAAATCAGCAAGCAAAGAAATGTCAGTTGGGACAGATTTATTAGAAAAGTCAGTGTGAGCGTCTGTACTGGGAGAGGAAATTGTACTGTTTGCATGTTTCTAGCACAGCAGGTGGGAGATGCTTTGAGTTAAGAGTTAATCAGTATTTTTACCTAGCAGCTAAGGAACTCATGCCTCTTACAGCTGTCATCGCTGATCAAGGGAGAATCACCTCGTATCTGTATGAAAGGCTGCAAACACAGGAACATATCCCCCCAGGGAAGTGTCACACACCTTGACAGTGCTACTGGCAAAACAACACAACGTGCCTTCTCTTACAAAAGCTGATGTAGCAACTGGTTTCCCCCTCCCCAAAGTTTTGTCTGTGCCCTCAAAGTGCAGAGCAACCACTGATCCCGGTTTCTCCGGTGCTAATCCAGAGCAACGCCACTGAAATGAGCCCAGTCGCTCTGGATTTAGAAACACCGGTGAAACCGAGAACCGAATGTGGCCTGTTGTCTAGTACGTTTGTTCAGTCCAGTTTGGGGAGAAAGTAACTGAAAGAAGTAAACTCGTTCTTGACTTCCTGAGCTGATAGCGAGGTAAGGGGGGATCAAGTGTAGCGGCATAATTTACAGGTAGGCTGGGCACAAGTAGGGTCAGAGAAACAGAGAAGAAAAGCAGTTTAATCTAAGGGTCTACTCCAAGAATTTCATGTAAGGGGGGGATCAAGTGTAGCGGCATAATTTACGGGTAGGCTGAGCACAAGTAGGGTCAGAGAAACAGAGAAGAAAAGCAGTTTAATCTAAGGGTCTACTCCAAGAATTTCATGCAAGAACTATAATCACCCGGGTGATTAGTTCCCTCTTTAGCATGCAACCCCATGCTAAAAACCCTTCACCAATGGGCATGGCAACAATTATTGGCCCTTACAACGGTGACCCCTTAAAACTCCCCTGTTTCACAGCACAGTTGATCAATGCTGCTGGGTCCCATCCTGACTATCTCAGAGGTTCTCTGTTTTCTGAACCTTTCTCTCTACAAAATTAGAGACACCCTCAAGACACCGGGAGCGTTGGCTGTATCTTGTGCACAACAAAACTCACAGCTTCCCTGTAGCTCCACACACAAGCTGACATAAAGCAAGAGAATGGGTATAATAATCTGCAATATGCCATGCTACATGAGCTCTTCAGGGTGTGGAAACAAGAAATGCCCTTTTCGGTTGACTTCTTTATAAGATGCATCATGACTTCATATTGTATCCTCAAAATGTTTAGCAAAGTTTTAACTCTTTAAAAAAAGGAAGTGACTTGCAGATGCAATGGGCTTTTTTCTCAGCTAGATAACTGGGCCATTTTTAACCTTGTTTTCCCCCCCCACCAAAATACCTAGTGGTTCTCTACCCACACATACCCACACTGCAAACAAATTGTCCTGAAAAGGGAAAGATGTCTAAAAACCAACAAAACCCCAAGGCCTCCTCAACTTCCAGGAATGCATAATGGCTTCAGAAGCCACAAACTTCTATTTTTTTTTTTGTAGCCTATTATAATCTCATATCTTGAAAATGACACAAATGTCCTTTTCCCCTGTAAACTGTACTCAGGAAACACTTTTCTCCAGCCATGTACGGACACATTTGAGGTCAAGGCAAATTTGTGGTTGGGCTGATGAATCACCCTTGAAAATGAGGCATCTAATGAAAACATGGATTTAAAAAAAAAAAAGCGCTCTTCGATGATTGATTGCCACTGTTGACACTGATGATGTCAGACATAGAAATTAGAGATACAAAGCTCATTTGCCTTGTCCTGAACCTCCCCTGCCAGTAGGGAGCTGATTCCCACAGTAGATTTGCTGGTGTTTCATTTTAAATGTCCTAAGTGATGAGCCTGCTGCCACTTCCCATGCAAGACTCTCGCGGTCTAATGAATCTCGCTGTCAGACAGACTTCCCTGATATCGTCAATGTTCCTTTTTTAACTCATTCCCTATACTTATTCTGCCCATCCATCTCCACTCTCTGTACCTCTGCAAGCTTCGGATGTTATAATTATCTCCCACTCCTCCTCAATTAGCCTTCTCGACGGAACAACCTCTGCGCTCTTGAAGGTGCCCCCCGCCATGTTCCCTGCAACGTGTCCGCATCTTTCTGTCACCGAGATGCCATGCTTCAGGTGCGGTCTTGTCAGCACTTTATCATTTAGGGAAAGCTCTCTAAAAATGCCACTTATTAGAGAGAGACGACGAATGTTGCCCTGTTCCGTGTCTGAATCGACTCTGGAAGGGGGGAGCGAGGAGAGAGATGTTGTCTCTTGCGTCTCCGTACAGATGGTCAAACCGCAGAGTACCAAAGTGAAGCCACAGCCTTCCTCCCAACCTCATTGCTCTGGCCTTAGACCAAGCTAACCACCAATGTAGTCATGCTGGGCTCTAGCCTGCAGCTGGATGCCAGCTCGCCCCACCCAGCGGCCCAGTAATTTACCCTGTTGCATATGACTGTTGGATGGAGAACCTGAATTCTTCCAAGGGTTTTGGGAATATATCATCCTGTCACAGCGCTTTGGACTCGCAGAGCTGAACTGGCTGCTGACAGCCCTGGATCAACTCGGTGACCTTCGCTGGAGTCCTGTCTGCTTACATTTCTGGTGGTGCATTTAGTTATGCTTAGTTCCTGGTATTTCCTTTTCGGGAGAGAAATGAGTGGACCGAACAGTAACCACATCTATTTTATTTATTATATATAATCCCTGTGAATGTCTTTGGACATAAGTAGAGGCTAAATAGATGGAACAATGTGGCTTGAAGGTTATTTCACACAAAGATTATCCTGGGAAGAAATAGCGGTTGTCTTGACAGAAGAAACTCCTGAGTGTGGCTCTTGTTCCACTCCCATTGAACTTCCTGCTAACCTGACGGTGTCACTTCTTTCGGACATTCGCTGGGGTTTGGGGCTTCAGGGACTGCAGGTGGATCATCTCCATAGTCCTAAGCTAAGGTGTTTAGAGAGGGCCCTGCCCAACCTCTGGTGTGACCCAGGAGTAACACTGTTAAAATCCAGTGTCAAGCAGTGTGCAATCAAAATGAGACCCAGCAACTCAAGTTCTGCTATTTGTCCCTCCCCCATCATGCTCACAGCTAACATGTCCTAATTACTGCCCATAAAAAGGAACCAATACATCCCATTCAGTATAGAGCTGAGGCTGTCTTCTCTAATGGTTTTAACCTTTTCTGTAGTTGACATTGTCAAATTTCTCCTCGTCTAATGTTACTATTTTGGCCACACTTCTAATTATAGGCATGTCGGATATTTGCAGCGAGATGTGCAGTCTTAGAGATTTTCCTATTTAGGTTTGATTTAATGGAAGTGGCCAGCTTGGAGTACAAAAAAAAATAAATTAAAATGGCATTGATTTTTGCACAAATGAATGTTAGTATTTGCATGCGCACCCTTTGGCTTTGGTACTGGAAATTTCATTCGAAGGAAAATCAATTGTCATATGAAGAAGTGCTGATGCAAAATGAGCCATTTCATGACAAGTGGACTTTTCAGTGTGAAATGACTTGGAATAATATTGCCAAAAATGTTAATGCATTCCTTCCTTTTACATAGCCCTCTATTTATGGATACCTCTCCCCCTTGGAGTCGCTAACACAGCCAGATATCTTATTACTATATGAAATAATAAATGACACATCCACCACTTTTTTTAAAAGCTCCTGACCTTGCACCAGTCACATTTTTGTGTCTCTAGCGGGATGCAAGACCTCTACGTGGGATCTCTTGAGCATGTGTTAACCTTTGAGAGAAGCAGGACATTGGCTGCTGTGCTTCCCCTGCTTTACCTGTGGCAGGTCAGGGTGTTCTGTCTTGTGTCGTGTCAGGGTTGATGGTAGTTTTATGAAGGGTTTAAATTATGGATTTGTCTAGGATGGTTTGGAGAGGGGTGATCCTGTCTCAGGCGGGTTGGACTAGATGACCTCTGGAGGTCCCTGCCAGCCCCGCTTCTCTATGACTTCAATGGGGGTGCAATTTATATGCCAATCCTGCTAAACATGACTGGGTTTGTTCATCATAAGAGGAATGTTCCTGACTCTAGCAATGGCATCTTTTTTATTTTACTTTTTTTTTTTTCAGGGGCCCTTGGGAGGAGAAAAAAGAACTAAGGAAAAGGACAACTCCGACTGAGCCGCAGGTGCTTTTCAGCTCCAAGGACCCTGCCAGAAACATGGAGGGGGACACCGGGGAAAAGGGAAACCTGCAGAAGAGCAGTGGGCAAAGCACTACTGCTTGCAAGGTGGATCTGAGAGCACAACTGCAGGGTAAGGATGCACCGGGGGCCCGACCTCAGGACATAAAGTATGTCCTCAAGATTTAGGACTTAGCATCAGCCCTTCTGGTTGGACAGTGAGACCTAACTCCATGCAGTCGGTGCAGGCAATGACTGCCCTGGTACTGGGGTGGGGGCAGCTACAGGCTAAAAAAACAGGCTGCTCTTACTTACACTCATCTGCACTGGGTGTGTGAACCCATTGCAAGGATCAGGAAGCGTGCTGTGTGCTCACAGCTGGCCTTGCCCCACCATGCAGCTGTGCCATCTTTCTCTCCGTGCCAGTGCTGAAAACTCAGCCTCCCTCCTTGAAGAGAACGTAACCAGATGTGCAATCCTGCCTGCGAGGCCAGGTGAATGCATCGTCCCCAGCCCGGCCACTGGCTATTGCGGCACGGCCTTCATTTTGCAATATGCTGCCCTACACCCTGGGACTTCCCAGGTAACCAACCCTCGGGGTCAGGTTTTTTGGTTGCTCTATCTGGCTACTGCAGCCCAAATAATGAGGTACAGGATTGAGCTCTGGATGGGTGGATCATTTCTAGCCATTAAAATAAGTTAACATTTATGTAATTATAGAATAGAGTGACTCATTATTTGTCATCAGGCTTCATAAAAGTGTGATGAAAGATGTATAGCAAAGTATTTAATTAAATTCCAAGGAGAAATTTATACATAGCTTAGATTGCAAAGAGCTAAATTCATTACTTCATCCAAATCCCAGTCTACTGCTTATTTTCTTCTGCTTCAAAATGATTTGAATGTTCTGCAATAGCTGGGTAAAATAATAATAGTGATAATAATAATTTTCAGAGTCAGGGGTGTATTTTATAGTTCCTAGGACTGCAATCTCGATATCTTTACACAGTCAAAATTCCCAATGAATCCAATGGGCAAACAGTTGAAATCTGGGGTGGGAGGAGATTTACCCCAGTCAGGACAGGACCCAAAGCCTGTTAGCAGCAGATTGTTCTAACAGTCAGATAGTTTTACACAGCTGCCAAGCTTTTCCATAGATTGCATAGCCTTGACTTATTGCTAACAAACAGACTGGGACCGGACTGCCCTTTTCACTTGAGGAATGCACAGCTGCAAAAATGAGGCTTCAGTTCATTTTGTGAAATGTGGGCCCCAGAAATATGGATTTGGTATAAATCACAAGGGTGTGCCATAAACAGAGGCACATTCATAATCGTGATACATAAGAATGAATAAAACGTTCCCAGATGTGTGGTGCCAATGCTGAGATGCTGTTGGGTACCCACAAAGGAAAATTCACTTCCATATTAAAGACTACAACAGCAAAAAGGAGAGAGTGAGCCAGAGCCAGAGCGTGCACAGCGACTCCAGGTATACAAAAAACTGAGCAAACTCCCACAATGGAAAATCTTTTCAGATGTGTGGAAATGTATTCACTGTGAAAGTCTTTGTTTCTCTAGCAACGAGTCAAATAATGTGGGTGTCTTTTTAAAAAAACTCAATAATCCGATTACCACTATTGCCATTTGTGTTATCAGAGCGGGGTAGCTGCATCTTCTGCTTTGGAGTTCCAGCTCCTTGTCCCAGGGCCCAGGGAGGTAATGCCACACGTACCTCTGTGTACAGTTTTACACAATTGGCCAGATGCCTTAAGAGTCCTCTTCTCAAAAGCACTTAAGCATGTGGTTAAATCCTATTGAAGTCAATGGTATGCAGGTAATGACCTAATTAAGTACTTTGTTGGATGGAGACAGACTTAAGGACATGCTTACACTTAGGCGAGTGTAAACATGCTTTGGAAAATTAAGTTCTAAATAGTTAACTTTGCCTTTCTCCAAAGTTTTAGGTATATTAGCCCCTGCCAAAGCAGGGTAATCAGATGACTGGGTAATGATGATGCAGTCTGGAGAGGCTACGAGTTGGGCCCTTGCCTTACCAAAAGTAGCTTGTATCTAGCACGGCACTCACAAAACCTGCGGCTATGAAATGAAACAGCCTTGCAGAAATCAGACAGCCAGCTGCAGGCTGTGTCCAGCTGGAGCTGCAGGCTGGGCGCAGGCCTCAGAGATTCAAGGCGCGAGTGGTGCGTGTGTTGAGCCCAAAGGCAGATTTCCTGCGTGTTCCCATCTAAGCGAGGAGTGCCTTGTTCCCAAAAGCTCGTGGACTGACGACCACAGCACTGCCCTCGCAGCCGTGTTTGCGTAAACTCACATCAGCACTGCACCCGCAATCCTTTTCTGGAAGAACAGAGATCAGGCTTTCCTGTCAACCAATAAAACCTATTCCTAGAGTCTGGGAGGATGCAGAAGTTTGTTATTTCATGGCTGTGAAGAGTTTACGATGGGCTGCGGCCCTTCAGAGCTGGATGTGTTTCCACAACGAAATCCAAGAGAGGCAGTGAACAGGAGGGGATTAGGGCTGCAGGCAGAGCCAGTACCGTCAATGGGGCCCTTTCCATTGATTTCAGTACATTTGGATTAAATCCTTAGGCACAGAGGGGTGGGAGGGATTATGCAGCAATCAGACCAGGAGCTGCAGAGATAGACTTTTCCTAGGTCTATCTCCTTAGCTGCTTCTTTTTTCTCTCTTGGATTTGCTCTTCATCGCACTTCTCTTTGGCTATACCTGCATCATTTCCCCAGTGCTCTCAGCTAGGGATTGTACGCACCCTACTTGCAAACCCCTCAGCTATGGTACGCACCCTGCTTGCAAACCCAAACCTAGGGATGTAGCAATGAAGTTGCTCTCAGGACATTCCCCAGCCCTCACTTTCAAGACCTGTGACTCCAGTGTTGCAGAGGTTGGGCTCATGTGAGGCCGTGTTTTGGGTCATCCCTCTCTGAGAGCACAGGGATGTAGGTGCATTGTTTGTGGTTTAGCTTCAAGTGCCAAACCTGCTCCAGGGGGTGTCGGGCACCTGCATTAGTGAACACGTAACAGCTTCATATCCGTAGGTGGAAGCTGCTTTGCAATGCAGGGATGTTCTGTCCCCATATTTCTGTTCAGCGTGTGTGCCTGCAGCCTTTCTTTTAGGTGGCGCTCAGGCCAGGGAAATATTTGCCTAGTCCATTCCCCCTGCACAATGGTTTATTTAAAGTCAAACACTAACTGTACCCATGATACAAAATGTGCCAGGCAGAGCGACAGCTTTCAGAAGCAAAGGTCAAGCAGGAGCGGAAAGGAGGCATTCATGGAAGGTAGAAACCACGTCAGACGGTGACTTGGACCCCTGCAGACTTTCCATGATGTCTTTGCTTTTTCCTGCCTATCAAATCCCAGCCAATGTGCTGCATTTAGTGCCAGGCTGGAACCAGCTCTGCTGTGATAAAACACGGGTTGCAATCATTCCCGCTCAAGTGGTTTTTCTGTGTGTTAAGCGGTGAATGTCGAAGCTTCAAGTTCCTGAACCGAGGAGTGATTCTGGTTGCTTCACTGTTGATACAGTCATCCCGGTGCTCAGCTTTTTCCCTCTGGAAGCCAGGTCCCTTTAAAGGGTGGCAAGATGAGCACCCAAAATAGAAGAACTTAAAATCACTGGTCACTTTTGAAGTTTTAAGCTGTTTAAACTATGCATATGGTAAGAGCTGACCACTCCCCGGCACAGGGTTTTACTCCACAATCTGCCACGTGAGCTAGATTAGTGCTGGTTTTTTGGTATGGCCCCCTGCAAGCCTGTCATGAGTGGGGAGGCAGGTCTCGCATTCAGGATGTTGGACTGAGACTCAAAAGACGTCAGTGCATTTTGCCACCCAGCTGCGTCCTCCCACGATCGTGCTGAGCGGGTCACTCTAACCCAGCGCCTTATGTCCCCATTCATAAAAAATGGGACTGATAATTTCCTACCCTACAAGAGGACTGCAGGAAGACAAATATGTTCATAGCTGTGAAATGCTACTTGCAAATACCTAGACTTGACTGGGGGTGAGGATATGGACTTAACCCTGGAGGAGCCTGCCAGTCCCTCCAGCCGAAAACAGCCAGGATATTCTCCCGGGAGCATTTGCTCAGGTCAACAGGGGACGGATGCATCAGAAACAACCTGGGGCAAAGCCCGATGATTAGGAAATGCTTAAATCAGCAGCGATGTATGGAACTAGGTCAGGTGGGAAGACAAAAGGTGCATGTCCTGGGAAGAGTCGAGATCCTACAGAATTAATTACTCCTCATCAGCTCAGGCAGATGCTATTTAAACCCTCTCACCGCAGACCCTCTTTGCTTAAGACAGACTTCAAATCAAGGGATGCCAAGTGCCATCCTTTGCAGACTTAGCAGATACCAATTAATGAGATATGCAACCCAAAAATGAGCAAGAAAAGTGCCTCGGTGCAATGGGAAATCTGAACTCCCTCAAGAGCCAAAGTTCCCTCAAAATACAGGTATCGGAGGATACGACGTGGGTGACAGGGTTAAGATTATTTAGGAAGGCCACAACCTTAGTTCGATGCACATGACTGGCCTGACAGTATTACACCACTCGAAAGATGGCCTCGGTAGCCTAATAATTACGAAGCGTTTCCTCCAGGAATGTCCTCAGGCCACACCGCTCTCTGCAAACCTGAAGGGAGGCCTGATTTTTGTCAGATGGATGTGGGCTCGGAAATGAACTTTGCTACCACCTGCTGCAAGCTCATTGGTTAAGCAGGACAAATTGCCAAATGCTACAGGAACCGAGGCCTCATTAGTGTGATTGAGGCTTTGGCAAAGTAAAGCCTTCTCAGTTTCCATTTATAGGAAACATTGAGAAAAGCAGTGGCAGGAGTTCAAGGAAGGGCGGTATGCACGGTTGCATTATGAAGTCTAGACAGCACTGGATCCCAGGGAGACTGAAGAATGTCTCTTTACCCTGCCTGGAGTATTGTTTAAAACTCAGAGGTATTATTCAATGAGAAACAAAATGGGAAAATATTTAATTCCTTTGCTCAAGCAGGCATGGACGTATAATTGTCTCTCTTGAAATCCCACCTTCAAAAGCATTGTCTGGGAGATCAGAGGCTGCCAGCATTTCGCATGCACCAGGGTCTGAATGATCTCTTACCAGTGCGGGCCTCCTCTGAAGTCATCTAGCTGCTTTTTCTAGCAGGATAAAGGTAGGGAGCAGAAGCAAAGATGAGAGCTCCCCTAGCTGCACAGGAGCCCTGGCTAGAAAACTTTTCCTATACGACCCTCCTTTGACTTCCATGGGCTCCTTGTTCCCTTTGCTTGTCTCAGGCCCTGGAGTTGCTCACAATATTCCTCTGATCCCCTGAAATGGAAAAGTTGCCAATGAGATTAGGAGGCGGTAGCGCTGGCCTTGAGTTTAGGAATTAATTTGAAAAGCAATTGCAGTCTAGCACAGTGGTGAGAGGGCTTGCATTCCCATCCAACCCCGACGCAAGCCAGGAACGACCGAGTTGTAGCTCACAAGGGACGAGGGCTGCATGGAGGGTTTAAGCAGAGAGCATGGAGCTGGGCAGGGGAAGGGGAGATCTCTGAAAGGGGTCCCACCTACCTACCCAGTGAGATAAGCTCATAATAAAAGGAGCGGGCCCTAAGGTGGCATAAGGCAAGGTCAGGGGATCAGCGGTGGTAAGGCAGTCAAGGAACAGGGTGAGGAGAGAAGACTTGTCCTCTGAGTCCCTGCCCCCTGGACAAATTGTGGATAAGTGGCGGTCTGTCTGGATGCCACAGGATGCCCAGAAGTGGTCATTTAAAAGGCCAATGTGTTTCAAACAGCTGAGCCTAGTCGCTATTCTATGCCTGGCTTAGTCATGTACATGCACCAGTACGGGCTGGGCAGCAGCTCTGCAGAAAAGGACCTGGGGGTTACAGAGGACGGTAAGTTAAATAGGAGCCAGCAGTGTGCCCTTGGTGCCAAGGAGGCTAACAGCATCCTGGGCTGCATTGGTAGGAGCATTGCCAGCAGATCAAGGGAAGTGATTATTCCCCTCTATTCAGCACCGGGGAGGCCACATCTGGAGTCCTGTGTTCAAGTTTGGCCCCCCACGACAAAGGATGTGGGCAAATTGGAGAGAGTTCAGCAGAGGGCAACAAAAATGGTTGTGGGGCTGGGGGACAGGACTTATGAGGAGACGCAGAGGGAACTGGGCTTGGTATGCAGAAAAGAAGACCGAGGGGGATTTGATAGCAGCCTTCAGCTCCCTGCAAGGGGGTTGCAAAGAGGATGGAGCTGGGCTGTTCTCAGTGGGGGCAGATGGCAGGACAAGGAGCAATGGGCTCAAGCTGCAGCAAGGGAGGTTTAGGTTGGATATTAGGAAGAATTTTCTCATTGGAGCAGGTGACCCAGAGAGGTGGTGGTAGCTGCAGCCTTGGAGGTTTTGAAGACCCAGGTAGACAAAGCCTTGTCTGGGATGATGGAGTTGGGGCTGGTCCTGCTTGGAGCAGGGGGTTGGACTGGATGTGACCCCCTGAGGTCCCTTCCCACCCTCATTTTCTATGATTGTATGATTCCCCCCCCACCTCCTTCCACCCGCACAAACACCAAGCCCCTCGTGAACTTAAGACCGTTCAGGTTTGAGTCCAAATTTCATCTCTCCAGTCCTTTTCCTGTTACAGGATCCTGAAAATGAAAACCTTGGAGGTTCAAGTCAGGATCTGTAGGCTTGAGTCCGCGTCTGCTCCTCCGAGCATCTGCCATTTATAATCTCTGCTCGGTGTGAACAAATTCAGGCCAGTGCGACCTTTGCTTGGGCTTTCAATCAGTTTGACTTTGTGCTTCTCGGTGGAGCTGGCTGGAGAATGAACTATTCCTTTTCAAGACAGGTTTCAAGGTTGAGGCTCTGAGATTTTTTTTTTCATTCTGTTTTAAAATAAAAATAAAACCTTTTGAGGATTTGGGGGCAATGGAATTGCCAAAATGTCCATTTTCAGCTCAGAAAGGTTGGGTTTGATTCCCCCTCTCTCTCTGTCTGTCTGGTCAAAAGCAACCGGAGACCTGGACCTCAGAGACTTTCCTGTCAAAAACTTTACTGAAATCAATATATCTTCATGAAATGTTGCAGTTTTGATTAAAATACAATGACTTGAAAATATTCTTGCTAGTTCTCCTCTTCTGGCTGAAGCCTGTTTCAGATTCGGGGGCGGGGCGGTTTTAAACTTCAATCAAAGATAAAAAGTCCAAGCTGAAATTTTTAAACTTCAATCAAAGATACAATGTCCAAGCTGAAATTTTTAAAATTCAGGGAAGCATTTCTTTTTGGTCTTAACAACGTCTCAAAAAGCCCCTTCCACAACCTGAAAGGCATACTGTGCACAGCTAAACTTTAGCCATGAGTGACACCCGGCCTCTTCGGGGTTGAAATGCGGCCCCTGTTTTAACAGCAAACAACACATTGCAGCTGCTACGGGCAGGGCACAAAACAAGGTGCAACACCCAGCTGGCACTGCAGCGTCAGGGGTGAGAGAGCGGCCGGCTGAGCTCAGGGGCCCTATTATGATCAGCATGGGGTTATCCCAGTCCACGGTGGGGCGATCGGTTTGATATCGACTCAGAAGGATCCTTGCAGCACCTAAGTTCTGCATTGCAGTCATTCAACCACCAAAATCCCTCCTCTCTTGGCATGGCTGCATCCACGCCAGCGTGTTTTGCCAGCTTAGCCACGACAGCGAAGGAGTGCGATCCTGCCACGCTCCCAGCCAACACGGCTATGTCAGTAAAACTTTATAACACAGACCAGGGGCAGCAACCTACAGCCCATGGGCCAGATCCTGCCCACCCAACAATTTCATCTGGCCCGTTCATGGGGGCAGCAGTTCAGCTGCAGGGGAAGTCAGTAGCAGGGGACTGAGTTATTTCAGCCCCCTGTGCCTAGAGGGTTGCTGACCCCAGGTGTAGACAAGACTTTAATATCTGGTTGTGTAAGATGCTGAGCACACACCGCTCCCGGGGGTGGGAACTCAGCGCCTTTCGTGACTGGGCTCACATACAGCAGCCAGGCGGCAGAAGCAAATCATTCCCTTGTCCAATGCCCAGGGATGCTTTTAAATGTTGCTTGGTTCAAATAAATACAAAGAGTATTCCTCTGGGATTGTGAGATAATGAAGAGATTCGTTCAGCTGGGATTTAAAAAAACTAAAAGGACTAATTCCAATCTTTGAATTCGCCAGACTGAATTTGACTAAAGGTGCACCGCAAACGGTCGTTTCTTTTTCCAGTCAGTTTGATAAGTGGCTTGAATCAATATTAACACATGCGAAGGCTGGAGAATGATTTCCCACCTCTGGCAATTATAACAGTGTCCCAGAAGTCAATAAAGCAAATGGGAAAATGAAGGTCTGGCGGTGTTTGTCACTCCCCGGCAGTGCTAGAGAAGATGCATCCATATAATAAATAGATGTGTTTTTCCTCTTAAGCCACACGACATTTAGCAGTGGGTCAATAGTTGATCTTTAACTCTGCTGAGATTCGAAAGTATCAGCAGAGGCGGCTGTGGCTTGAACGGACCCTTTTTATCCCTATTCTCTCTCTGCAGAACCTCAGTTACCAAGAGTTGATCACCTCAGTCCATCACCGTCACCCAGCAGCCAGATCTCTTGGGAGGATGGCGTTCAAAGCCGCCTGGCCACCCCACAATTATTAACCAGCACCTTGGATCAAAGGAAATGCGAGGTGAGACTGTAACATCGTTCTTCCATCGATGACCTTGACACTCCCGTGTCCGACTGATAGGCAAAACCCTGCCGCTTAAGACAAGAGAATCTACCGCGAGCTCAGAATAATTAAAAGGCACACAAAATGATAAAGCAGCGTGAGCCAAAAAAACCCCAAAAGATCATTTTGTGGATTATGCAATAACAATCCAATCTATTGCAAATATAAGAACAAGTCGACTGTTGAACAGCATTTAGAAACTAGCTAGTGGATGACTTCTAAAAGTAACAGCCGGTGATTTTTATTTCTGCATGAGGCAGCAAAGCTGAGATGCATTTAACAGGGGAAAGCAAATAAAGGTAATCCCCAAGGGTCTCCATTCTTAGTTATTCTTTCCAACAGTAAATTTCATAGTGTAATGCTGATTTTCTGGGGTTGGGTGTGTCCGATGTGTAGATCTGAGACCGGAAGTGGGTATTAGATCAGCTCATCTGACCTCCTGCACAACACAGGCCAGAGAACGTCATCCAGTTGCTTCTCTATGAAGCCCAATAATGCATACAACTAAAGCAGGAAGGCATCTGGTCTTGACCTAAAGACTTCAAGACCTGTAGAAGAATCCACTCCCTCCCTCAGGAGGTTGTTCCTATGATATAATGATTTGTGGGCAATGGAATAAGCCCAGTCCTATAGCGACTATATTTGAAGACTGCTCAGTAGTCTTCAGTAAGGAGGAGGTTGACCTGGGAGCATTATCCAGCGGACAAGTCTCAAACCTGTTTTCTGGTTGGTCTTCTCAGTACAGTGGCTAGGGATGGAACGGGTCAAGGAGATGTCCCGGAGGTCTGATTTTGTCCAGGCCAAGGCAGAGGCAGGATGATGCAGGGATCGTGCCCACCGTCTTTTGTACCTGTACTTTGGACGTAAGGAAAGGTCGGTCTCCAAGACCGTGGGTCCAGAAGGTTTGCAGGCAGAAACTGTCACCTCTCAGACCCTTTCTTCTGAGAACAATGAGAGAAGTAACTGTGGGCACGCACAATAAGCCTGACGGACCCTTTGAGATGCTGTGTTCCCTACTGAGCAACTCGTCTCTTGCTGTTATCTTGTCTCTCATCCATGGGCTTTCCTTGTTGGATCACAGCGTGACCTCCAAGCAGGAGCTCGCTGCAGGTGAAGACCCACAGCAGACAGCGGGGTTCTGCGTAAGTGCAAGGGTCTACCCAAGGCCTGGCATTGTAAACTCTGCAACGCAGGCACAATGGTTTGTGCTTCTTTCCTGGAAGTAGCCGGCATCTTTTGGTGCATTTGAAAAGTAATATACAGCTTGGTTTCCTGGTGTCGTGCTTTATCTGGGGTTAGCATTGCTTTCAGAGAGGCTCTTGCAGAACATTAGTTATTCACTTCCATTGATGTGCAATGTGCTTCCAGCTTTGCAAATGGGACAGTTCTGGGGAAGTAGATATAGATGTTTCCAACAATAATCAAAGCTCTCTTCCTCTAACAAGGGAGCTCCTCTCTACGTCAGTATGATGAGATTATTGCCGTCATAATCCAACTTGTCTTTCATTTGCAATGCCAGGATCCTTTCAGCCGTTATGTGGAAGACAAACTGATAAAAAGAATAGCTGGAAGGAACGCCCGTCGGCATATATTTGGCACTATCAATGCTAAAAAATGCAACCCGTTTGGGACAATCTGTTCACCTTTCCAAGCCCTCACAACCTCGGTAAGCATCCTCCTCTCTAATATCTTTCGATTAGATGCAACAAGCCCCAATATGTTGCCAGGCTGCAGAAGCCCATTCCGTCATTGTTTCCAATACAATTTTCCAAATCAAAATCTTATGAAGACCCAGTGTAGCATGTTTGGAAGAATTTGGATGATTTAGTCTAGAGAAGAGAAGACTGAGTGCATATGTAATTGGTCTTCACATAGAGAAAGGGTTGCTATAAAGAGAAATGGGGAATCAGTTGTTTTCTGTGTTGTCAAGGAACAAGACAAGAAACAGTAGTCTTAAACTGATTTTAAAAAAAAGGGGATGTTTAGGTTGCATATTAGGAAAAACTTGCTAACTATGAGGGTGGTTCAGCACTGGAATAGATTACCTGAAGGTCATGAAATCGCCATCATTGGAAGTGTCTACATGTTTGTCTGGGATGGTTTGGAGAAAGTTGATTCTGTCTTGAAGAAGGGCTGGGATTAGGTGGTCTCCTGAGGCTCCTTCCAGCCGTATATTTCTATGATTCCTTTCATGTTCTCCTTGTGCCTTTTCCAGAAATGTCTTTTCTCCATGAAATGTTCATGGATTCATAGATGTTAGGGTCGGAACGGACCTCAGTAGATCATCAAGTCCGACCCCCTTGGCTAAAGTTGGCTAAAGTTAAAAGAGAACAAATGCACGCGGCTGTCTGTTAAAAGGGTAGCATCAATTTAAAAAAAAATCATAATTCGCAACCGAGTCACATGACTGACCTTATGAACAACAATTTAGAATATTAAAATCGAAATAATTATAAAAGGCTATTTTTGATCTAATTGCTTGCCAGTGGCTTCCTTTTTGAAGAGTAAAATGAACAAATTTGCTTTCACGTTTTGATCATCACTGTCTGGTTTTCAATGCGACCCATATAGTTTGCCAGATCTGCCTGGGAGGAAAATATCAGCGAACATCTAAAATGTATAAAAGAAAACCATGCAAACATTTATCCCAGCTTGCATGAAAGCTTGCTTTTACAACAGTGAAATGCAGAGTCCCATTTGAGGTGGCTGCTGTGCTCCTTTCAAAGAGAGCCAGCATTCCCTCTTTTTTTTAAGTCCTGTTCCCTTTGATCATTTTTTACGTTTGAAGTTTATCTCCTCCTTATGCTTAGGGCAGGTGTTTGTAAAGCACCTGCCCTAAGCATTGCACCGATACATCTCTACAGCTTCCAGGCACTATAGCCAAATGCCAGTAATCATCATATCTATCTAGTATGTCTTAGCAACTTATATTACTCCCGTTACCACTGTGCCCCCAGCACCTCACAATCTTGAATATACTCATGAATTGATAATAGTGGCACTTAGAGCACATGTATCATTTGATTTGAAAAATGCTGCATAAATATTAACAAAGTCATCCACACGATACCCCCAGGAGGTACATGGGATTGTTGCAAGGTTTTCAAAGGGGAAAAGCTGAGGCATAAGTGGGTAAGTGACTTGTAAGAGAGTATATATCTGCATCGCAGACCGTGCTGTAGTGTAGATACACCTGGGCCAACTTTAATGAGCTTGGCTGGGTGCTGGACATAGTCTTGCTATGGGAGAAGTAGGGGAAATCAGGCTGTATTACACGACAGTCGGACTGTATCTCATGGATCTCTGTACTGTATCGCACCCTGTACGGTAGACATGCCCTAAACCTGCAGAGTTAATCAGTGCTTTTGCTCTGTGGAGTTGCTGTAAAGACTGGCGTGTGTCATTTAGAAAGAGACCTTCCTTGTAGCGTGTCCGGGCGCACACTCAAACTGCTTGCATAAAGAGAAATCGTACGACTGCCGTCACACTAACAACTGCTGCGATGCGAGATCCACCCCTCCCTCCAGGTTCACCTGTGAGCTTAACTCTCTCTGTCTTAGGAGATGCAGAGGCTAACTTTGCCTGAAGACTTACCCATGACCCCACGGATGCTGAGACAGGGTATAGTCTGCACCTCTGAGATGGACTTAAGATCTTTACAGCTTACCTTCCCAGAACTGGATGGTGAGAAGACGGACGAGCCCACCCTGAGTGAGAAAAAGAAGTCATCCGTCCACACAAAAACCTCTTTCCTTCCCCCACTGGTTAAGCCTCAAACACCTACCCTCTCCTACAGCACAAAGGCTAAAAGTTTCCAGCTTCCCCCTTCACACCTTTCACCATAGCTGTCTCCTGGCTTGTAAAACAGCGCCACACACCAAACCCTCCTGAAAGAGAGCATCCTCTTCTATATAGCGCTTTAACTTTCAGTAGCAGACCCTGGCCTATTATTTTGTGCAAATGCTTTGAAGCCTAAGCTTCCTCCTTAATGTACATAAAGTAATTGAAGAAGAGCGTTTCTGCTGTTTGGTTTGAAACCGGTGACATTTCTGCCTTTAATAAGTAAAGCAAAAACCAATGATCCCCGATCCCATGATGAGCAAAAGCAACTCTCCAGCCCCGAGCTCTAGCTGTCGTTGGTAGGTAGAAATCATCTGACTCAAACTTGTGGCACTTCCAGTTTTGCAAAACACGGTTCAAGAGACTTAGTTGGGCCACGTTTGTGTATCTAAGTCCCTTTGAATGCTGTTTTACCTCTTGAAGTAAGGTGTAAAACATAATCAGAGAAATCACAACTCGGCTATCTCTGTTTTTCAGGGGATGTCAGCTCTCATAGTAATTCTCTGGTAGTTACTCTGTATTTTGAATGTTCCTTGGTTAACTGCAGCTCCAGTTAAGCCTAAATGTTACCATATGAGCAAATGCTCCCCTGCAGTTTATAAGCTGTTGATACTTAGTTATCTAGTAAAATCATAGTGCCTTCAACTATAATTGCCCTGTAACCTGCATATCACAAATAACTATGCAATTGAGCAATGGCTGCAGTCACTGAAGAGGGTTATTATTTGCCCTTTGAGGGAGTAGAGGGCAGACAGCAGTTGAAAGCTGTTTTCAGACACTCAGTAAACCATGAGTTTGACCTCAGATGCAGCCGTCTCGCTCTGGAGCAGGAATCGATGAGCTTGGTGAGGTCTGGGATCAAAGCGGGATGATGTCATTACAGCAACGTGACTCTAAATGTCATTCAAAAGATCTCTTGTTTGAGTCCTAGGATTGCAGCTGGTTTTGAATGCTTACGGCGGGAGGGATCTTGGGTCATGAGAACAGCCAAATTAGAGCTGAGCAAAAACCAGAATGTCCCTCCTGGGCAGAAAGCGGATATTTTGCTATTTGTTCTCCTCCCAGCTGGTGATAGAGTCAAAATAACAGGGACGTTCCTTGCACTGAAAGTTGCAGAAAGTTCAGATTTGGAAATACCCGAAAGGGAGCCAGGAGGGGCCTGTATCGGAGAACAGGAGCACGCAGCATTCGAGTCGCACCTCCCAGGAGGCACTGCAGCCCTTGCACTTTAATGCTGAACTGCCTCCAGAATATTTTGTTTCAGTTTTCCTAAGATGAAGCTGAAAAGTTTCTGCAAATTGAAACATTGTCTGTAGACAACCTCGATTTTCCGAAACCGATTCCAAGAGAAAATTCTTGACCAGCCCAATATTAGCCGTGCAATTCATAGATTTCATAGACATTAGGGCTGGAAGGGACCTCGGAAGATCATCGAGTCCAGCCCCTGCCCAAAGGGCAGGAAGTCAGCTGGGGTCACAGGATCCCAGCAAGATAAGCATCCAATGGATGTGGCCTGATGATCGCCCAGCTGCCATTTTGCAGGAAGACTGTGACATGCTGCTTTATTTAAAAAATGAGATTGCTAAATGCAAATCCAAGACTACTCCCCATCCAAACTGCTCCCTGTTCCTTAATTCAGAGTGAATGTTAGTCTAATTACCTGTAGTTCAAATCTTCTTGTCCGTGCCACCACGATACAGCCACCGTAAGAAGACCGGAGGTGGACAGGTTAGATCTAAACATGTGAGAGAGATCATAGCTAATTCTTTCCAAATAGGCACAACTCATTTAGCTATAAATGGGACAGACCTCGGCGTTAGAATTTAAAGCAATTATGCTTAATTACATGTAAGGCAGGGGAAAACTGAAAAAGTATGTTTAGTGGATCAGGCTCCTCTGAAACGGTCTAACCACAACCTCCCCCAGCTACTGATGCTGATGACACACCGTAGACGAGCAAAGCGGTGGAGGAAGCACAGCCCTGCAGAGAAGAAACATTTTAGAAAGACGAAGCTCCTATAAATGAGCCCGCGAGACCTTGCTGCAAACAGCAGCCATTTCATTGACCTAGCAAGTCATTCGGAGTTGCATAACATTTAAGCAGGCTCTGTGGATCAGTCACTGAAGATGGCTGGTAGTTTTGCTGTGGAGTCTGAAAAACCTGTGTCTAAAGGAGAACTGAGACATTTCTGAAAGCTGGGTAGGTCCGCGGACAAGAAGTACAAGTGGGAAAAAAAGCCAAAATTAGCTATTTCAATGTATTGCCCTCCTGCACAACCCTGGATCCAGAAAGGAGAAAGAGACAGCTTTGTATCACATGGTCCCCAGCCCTGTGGAGCTGAAAGGCAGGGAAACTTTCCCCCTTAGCAGCGCAGAGCCACATACATAGATCTGGAGTCCTGCGTCCAGTTTTGGGGCCCCCACTACAGAAAAGATGTAGACAGATTGGAGGGCAATTAAATGGTTTGGGGGCTGGGGCACAGGACTTGTGAGGACAGGCTGAGGGAACTGGGTTTATTCAGTCTGCAGAAGAGAAGACTGAGAGGGGATTTAATAGCAGCCTTCAACTCCCCAGAGGGGGCTTGCAAAGAGGATGGAGCTGGGCTGTCCTCAGCGATGGCGGATGGCAGAACAAGGAGCAACGGGCTCCAGTTGCAGCACGGGAAGCTGAGGTTGGATGTTAGGAAAAACTTTCTCACGAGCAGGGTAATAAAGCAGTGGACTAGGATACTCAGAGAGGTGGTGACATCTCCATACTTGGAGGTTTCTGAGACCTGACTACACAAAGCCTTGACTGGGATGATGGAGTTTGGGGCTGGTCCTGATTTGAGCAAGGGGTTGGACTAGATGTGACCTCCTAAGCTCCCTTCAACCTTTATTTTCTGTGATCCTATATGCATTTATAGCACTGTCCCGCAACATATCGATTGATGCAGGGTGATGGACAGGCATGCACCGAGCTCCACCTGGGCCAGCTGGAATCAAAAGAAGTGAACACCACTACACTGCAAATGTTTGCATCTCCAGGCAAGCTCTGGCATTACAGCCATGCAAGGCAGACTGCTCTGCAGAGTCAAGCGGAAGACCGTGGGACTGCATGCATGTCGGTCGGGGAAAGATTAAGAGGGAGTCGGTTGCTGAAGGGACCAGAGAGCTCTCCACCGAAATAATTCTCAGAAGTGCTGCGCTTCAGAAAATGATTGGAATTTATCACTTATTGTTCGTGCACTATTTTTTCCCTGTGTTTGAAGGGCACCTTGACTATTACGTACCGGCTCTGGAAGCCAGAAAAGATTGTTGAATCAGCAGGGGATTTCTAACCGGAGAAGTACAGTTAGTTAATAAAAACAGGCAATTTACACAATTTGCAGAAACAGCTGGGGCTTATCGGGATGCCAATTAAACTGGTTCCCAGACCAATTTTCATAAAAAGATTAGACATTTATATGAATATGAAAAGCTTCTGCAGTTACACTAGCTAGGACACCAATTACAAGGCCCCAAAGCCTCCCGCTTTACAGCACCATTGAAGACCCCCAGGTCACGAAGCAATGTTCCCTGTGTGTGCTATTGCACAAGCCCTTTCAGATGCTCTTATCTACACAGGTGAAATGGAGGCAGGTGTGTGAAATTAAGGGTAGATATAAAGCATCCCCAGCAAAATGCAGTGTGATAGAGTGAGAGGTCATCAGGGAAGCATGGTGATATGGAATTACATAGGATCCAGATGTAATAATGCCTGAGCATGAATTAACAGCAATAATTCATTGCACATTGACTTTCACCACAGGACCCACCACCCCGGATTCAAACCCAGTGTCTTCCAAAAGTAGGTTGAAAATTACTGTAATTTGAATTATCTCCTGTGTGGATGTGCTTAGCTTTACTGAAACTACCACATGGAAATTCAATGAATGCCTTTGCCTGAAATACAATTTACTGAAATTTCAGTGATGTATACCTGGGAAGACCTATTTCTGTTGCAGCAGCTCATGTTGAACTTGCCATTATTTCTCTGCTTACCTCCAGAGCTGATCTCACTAATGCAGGAAACTTGACTTCTGGGCCCAAAGATTGCAAGTGCCGTGACTTGAGAATATGGATGCAGCGAGGGTGGAGAACTTTTCAAAACGCTCGGGGATCACTGGTGAAGCTCCCCCGTCCTGCGGCTCAGCATCCTTAAGGCTTGAAAGGACTATTTGGTCAATGCACAATGAATTATTGCACTTAACCAGCCAGGACCTTAATCTCCTGTGCACCAGAAAGCTCACAAGCAAACTGCTGAGATATCTGAACCTGGAATGATGACAGACTTACTTGACTTTGCATTTACACATTCAGTTCCCACTGAGATACGTGAGATGGAAACACATAAAGTATCTGGGACCTCCAAAAAAGGCTTAGAGTTGAAAGCTCATATGGTTTTTTGTTGGGTCCTGTTGCCTCGGGAATTATCTCTGTTACTTGCAAAATATTTTTGCTGCTTTTCTTGTATTTGTCATGCCATCCTGTCTGCTCACTGCTCCCCCTTTTCCAGAGAGGGAGGGAATGATGCAAGAACAGCCTTGAAAGTAAAGCCTGCAAATGAGCACGGGATCCATTCAGCACTCGACCACAGATTCCCATTGAGACCTTGTGTAAGTCCTCTAGAGTCTCTGTGTTTCCGTTCCCATCTGAATAAAAGGGATGATAATACCCACTCCCCGTCCTTCCAGAAGTGATGAAAGCTTCAGCTGGCATCAGAGAAAAGCGGATGCAGTTCAGGAAGTGGAATTTAGGAGCCCTGGGCTCAATTTCCAGCTGTGCCGCGCACTTCCTTTGGGATCTTGGGCAAGTCGCTCGGGGACAGAGGCAACAAACGTCTGTATTTGTTCCGGTCCCAAATCCCAGCACTGTGTATTTTGTCCAACTGTTGAAGGAACATAACCTAACGGGCTTGTCGGAGAGAATGAGCACCCAAATCTCTGTCCTCCCAGGTGGGTGCCCGAGCCAGTTGGATACAGAAAACCACGCAGTTTTCTCTCTGGCTCGACGGATCTTGAACTCTGCTCTGCAAGCTGGCCCAGCTTTGAACCTGGAGGAGAGCGATCCATGCCTAGAAAAGCCTGTAGCCAGGTGGGTCGGGCACTGCCCAACATGAGGGAGGTGCACGTGAATCCCCCGGATC